TACATCCTAACTCTCTTTCCGCTGTGACTTGCTGGCTCCTTAGAAATAAGGCTTTCTTTCTTTTTTTTTATTATTTAACTTTTTTTAAAATTGAAGTATAGTTGATTTACAATGTTATGTTGGTTTCAGGTGCACAGCAGAGTGATTCGGATATATATATATTCAGGTTCTTTTTTCTTATAGGTTATTACAAAATATTTCAAAATATTGAGGATAGTTCCCAGAAATAAGGCTTTCTGAATGGAGTGTTCAGTCTGTGATGTAAACTGGATAAGATATTAGGTTAGGTAGAACTCATCTCTCTATGGAGAGTTGTAAAAATCTCAGTACTGGACTGATTTGCAAGGCAATTGGAGCCCTGTGGTATTTTGAAGATAGAAATAATATTGGTGATTTTTTTTACATCTGTAGGTACTTTTCTTTGGAAAAGGGAGTGTATAGAATCCAAACTATCAGTTAGGAGACATCTTTAGTAGTCTGGGCACGTGAAGGCTAAAGTGTAGGCCAGTGATTCTAAACCTGTCCAGCCCAGAGCCCCCTTTTTATAACAAATATTAAAGTTTCCTGTAATATCCTAAAGATTTATAGGCAATAAAAAATACCTATAAGCATAATTTTAAAAAATCAGTGTACTGCTCTAATTGAAGCATAAAGGTAAAATAAGTATTTCATTAGAAAATAACATGTCTACTATTTAAATATGTAAGTACTCAGGCATGATTACATTAGAAGACACAGTGAAGAACTGACCAGTTGCTGGCATATTGCACCAGTGCAAAGAAATCATTGTGAGTGGGATGGCTATAAATGCAGGCTGATTTCAGATGTATTACATTGGCAGTTCAGATACCATAAGAGCCATTGTCATAGACAAACTAATTTTTCCCAGGTTGTGAACAATTTTTGGTAAAATTTTGAATGAAACAAAGTGGAATCTTACCTCAATTTACATGATATCTGCAATTCTGGAAAATTCAGTCTTCACTAAAATGGTGCAAAAATAGTATATTTTATATGTAGTAAAGTCCTAGACTAAGATGGTCATAGATAGGCTTTTCACCTACTCAGTGTCCAGTAGAGTCTTTTAAAATCTTGAGGGATGCAGGCAGTTGTTTGTTGTCCTGTGTTGTCTCATATATTTTAGGACTTCTAGGATCCATAGTCCTCATCCACTAAATACCCTCCTTCCTATCCAACTTATCGTGACAACCAAAAAATGTCCTTGCAAATTTTCAAAAGGTCCCTAAGGGTCTGTTCTGCTTCTGTAGGGAATCACTGGTCCAGGCAGTGACCAATGATGAGGTGGAACATAAGAGAGTTGATAATAATAACTTTGGGGAAACTTAGAAGTACTGAAAGTGATGGGAAGTTGACAAAGTGTAGGATAACAAAGAACAAATGACCTAAGTATGGGATGTATTTGCTAATCTTATTGAAAATAGTAGAAAATCAAATGTTTGTCAAGGAATTGAAGAAGACATTTTTCATACCATTTTTTAAAAAGATGCAATTTATTTTAAAGTTTTTGAAATATATATCTGCAGTTGTAGATGTTAAATAACTGTCTCATGTAAGCTTTCCTTTAGGGATTAAGAATTCAGGTTCTTTAGCCTGTTTGGGAGATTAAAAGGTAAAAATGTAGGAGGAAATACCTGCATAGTACTTTGAATAAAATACTGTCTTACAATTAATTGTTTAATAATCACAAGTCATGATCAGACTTTGCTTTAGCAAAGCTGTTTTTCATGGACAAGTAGAAAAGAAACTTTAAAGTTAAGAGGAGAATATTAACAATTTTTAAAGCAGTTTGAACAAAACTCAGTTTGTATGACTTGGTAGCCTTTCAATTTTCCTTACTTTCCTGAAGAGTGTAACTCTTAGTATTATTAGGATGATGTAACATATAAGAAAATTAGCCACATATATGTTTCAGTGTAAGCAAATCTTATACATGAAAATCAAAACCTATCAGACATGTAAATTATCAAGTGCTTATTCATTACCAAAAAAAAGAGACTTTTATTTTTCAACTGCAATTGGAATTTAAAATATTTACCTTGAGGAATTCCTTAAGGAATAAAAAAGACTAAGATAAATGATATTCTCTCTCTGATTTTTTTTTTAATGGTAAAGAGAGGCATAAAATGTAAGCATGTATTAAATATTAGGTGTAGTCAGAGTACACATGATGCTCTGACTTCTTCTGACGTGCTTTTCCAAATTTTGGTAACTTTATTGCTCGATGCCTCTGATAACACAGGCAGTCTGCAACTCTGTTTTTAAAGTTTGTCGATTCAATTCAGTATAATAGATTTTTTTTTTAACACCAAATACATAGAAGCTAATACGAGGTGTGTGTGGGGAGGAGATGAGTGAGCCAGGATTGCCACCCTCAAGGACAGAGGGCAGCAACCTTCTTTTGTAAAGGGCTGAATAGTATTTTAGATTTGCAGACCTTATGGCTTCTGTCACACTACCAAACTCTGCTGTTGTACAGCAGAAGCAGCCATAGACATACAGCTTAGCTGCAATGATGTTAAAGTTTTACTCACCAAGAACTTTATTACTGTATAGTACTTACAGTATTTCTAAATGTGTTAACATGGTTTTGGTAAAGATTTTTTTTTTAATTAATTAATTAATTTTTATTTTTGGTTGCGTTGGGTCTTCGTTGCTGTGGGTGGGCTTTCTCTAGTTGCGGCGAGCAGGGGCTATTCTTCATTGCAGTGCGTGGGCTTCGCATTGCAGTGGCTTCTCTTGTTGCAGAGCACGGGCTCTATGTTCGTGGGCTTCAGTAGTTGTGGCACACAGGCTCTACAGCACAGGCTCAGTAGTTGTGGTCCACAGGCTTAGTTGCTCGCTGGAGGTAAAGAATTTTAAGTAGAAGTTTTAGTAAGTGCCATGAATTGATACCTAATTTGTGTATTTCCATTTGGGGTAACCCATTTCATTCTTTCCTTCCATGCTAGAAAGC